CTCCTAGAAAAATGGTAATACAGGTAATGAACTTAAGACAACTTTCCCAGTTCTAGGGGAAGCCTCCTTTCCGGGCACCTCTTTTTAGTCCTTGTGCTCCCCTAAAGCACAAGGACCATGGCAGCAGCTCCCCACGAGCTTCCCAGTACGGTCTGTGCCTACCATGCTCAGAGCATCACTTCAGAGAAGTCAGCAGCAATGCTTCAACAAGCATTCGGGAGCGGTAACCTTTTAGGGACTCAGGGAAACACATGGTACCTTCCCAGAATGGATAAATGCACCAACCTGAACCCGCACGAGCCCGCTAACAAATCGTCAGTTCTCGCTCCAAGGCCTGGAGGTGCCAGAACTGGTTAGGAGCGGTAGGAAAAACCTCTCCACATTGTGGGAAAACAGCTCGTTTTGCCAACCTTGTTCTGTGAAACAGTTGAACTGTGCCTTTTTGAAACACTGGAAACTAAACCCCAGCCTGAGGCGCTGACCCAGGCTGGAAAATCTTCAGTGCAAACAGTTAAAGTCTGGAAGCAGAAAAGCAGAGGTGACGGGAAGTGTACAAGGCAGAGCTGATGAGAGATGTTCCTGCCAGGTCTTTTAAACACATGTGCTTCTGATGGCGGTCTAAATGGCTTTGGGACACTGCACACATGCTGTGCTCGAAAGACCTCCTTTTCTTTGGGTCAGGGAGAATTTGACCACTCTGGGCCTGACAACAAACAGCCTTTCGGAGGGGCAGCCATCCTTGCGACATGGCAATCCAGACCAACGCAAGCTCTAACAGAGCACAGTAACTGTCTCACATTCAAGAAATACTGCAAGCTCAGTTGACAGAAGGGTTTGGAAGGCAGCTCCAAAGCTTGCTAAATTTTGTGTTGAAGCCCTGAAAATCTGTAGTACATTTATTTCAGAGGGGACTAAAAAACATCGATGGAACCACCCAGTAAGTCACAGTTTGAGGGACTCTCATGGAGATGGGTCCTCAGCAATGACACTTCTGACCTCACAGCTCAGCTGTCATCTTTGACTGCAAATTACCAACACGCTGTTTGGCAGATGATCAACATTGGAACCAGACTCGGACTTGGCTTTAGCAGGTCCAAGTGCGGGACACACACCCATGGGGTTCAAGCCCTGATCTGCAGGACTGACCTTCTCCATGACTGGAAGAAGAAATAGCAGCAACTGACCCACGGCCACGTTGCCAGCATGAGTGGCATCCTGCATCCCACGAGCCCTCGCCAGGGCCGGCTCTTTGCCTGGTTAAGAAATACCATGACTAGAAATGCCACTGGGGACAGCCTGCAACGGAGCTTCTAGTATTACCACTTCCAGCAGAGCTGCTTGGTAGGAAAACAGTGCTGATATTTCTGTTTTAAAAGCAAAGTGTTCTGTAGACAGCCTGTATTTCCAAGGGAAGGGGAATATCTAATCACCTCTGGAGAGCGACCAGGACAACACGCTTTCTATCTGTAATGATAATGATTTCTAATAGTATCACTCTGTTTCCATTCCTACTCTCGTGGGATCGTCAGAACTGAAAAGGACGTGTGTGTTTTGTGTAAGCCTTGAAATGCCGTGGCCTGGCTGAGTGGGAAACGCTGCTGGAGCCAGGAGAGTGTGAATGTGTTACTCTGCTGGGGCAGATTATATCGGAGATTGATACAGGAAGCGAGAAAAAAAAAAACCCCAGTGGGGGAAACGAGAAGGGAAAGAGCTGTGCGCGCAGGGATTGGGTTTCCTCATTCATGCTGGAACAAAGCGCAGAGCCCCACCAACTGCCTGGCTTGCTGGGATGCCTGCCATGCTGAGGTACCGCAAGCGGGTTCACGCAGGACCTGGGGGCTCCTTGCAAAAGCAAGAGCTCAGGGCAATTTGCAGTTGCATAGCTTACCTCCTCACGCTGTCCTGCAAGGCAAGTGTTGTGCCGAGATTAAGTAATTTGCTGAAGGTCAGAGCAAAGAAGAGATGTGGGGGGAAATCCAGTGTCAGCTCTCTGCAAATGCTCCTCAAACCATTAGCCAGTGCTCTCTTTACAGGGCTGTACAGAATAACAGGTACGGGACTGACAAAAACATGAGCTGTTTACTCTTCCAACAAGGCAAAATATCATCATCATCCCTATTTTACAGATGGAGTGCATTTCTTCAGCAGAGATCTGAAAAGAATGAAGATCCCCTGAGCCTTAGGGCTACTGTTTTATCCACAAAACCACACAAAAGGTTTCAAATCCAAATAGACTAAAACCAGCTTCATGCCCTTGAGTCACTGGCTCAGATTCCTCTGTAAGCTTCAGCACAGGCTTCTGGTGGTGCAAAGTTGCCCACTGCAACAGCAACACTTAGATGGGACCATGTCAGCTACCAGCAGACCCAGGGGTTGGAGGGACATGGCACATTGCTGCTATTTTTTCCACTACCACACATATAGCAAGTATTCTCCAGGAGGGCCATTTCATGGGGAGATCCTGAGTAACCAGGATAACAGGATGACAAACAACCTATATTCAAGTTCTACAAATGGGACAAGGAAAAAACCATTGCAATTCTATGCAGGAACCGCTGTTTCAGATTCAAGGAGCCGTGCAAAGCCTGATGCATGCACAGCCCAGGACAGAGATGCAGGAAGCCCAAGTTTAACCCTCGGCACTGCCCCGGCTGTGCACAGCGATCACAGCAAGACACTCTGATGCACCTCACCTGCCTCTTTCCCTGCAGAATTTGGGCAGCAATACCAGCAGTGCTGGGGTGGGGATGGCTGACATTAATCCTCCAGGTAGGGTCACAAGGACCACAAACACCCTTAGATGAGGGCAGACAGTTCAGTATTTTTTTAATTTCCGTAGTGGTACCAGCAATGTTGAAAAGGACACCTGGGAGCACCTACTGTACGATCTGTCTGCAACCAAGATTTCAGTTTGGCAATGTTTTTACTTTCAAAGCACATGCAACAGCAAAAATTCCTAAAGGCAGTAAAATGACAGTAGATGGCTTCATCCCTACCTGATGCATGGCCATTTTGTAGCAAAGCAGAGAACACCTTCTAGGTGAAAAAAGTTTTTTTTTGTTTGTTTGTTTCTTAAAAAGGTATTTCTTACCTTTAAATCCCAGATCCACTCATTCTAAAACCATTCTTTCTTTCCAGGCCAGACCAACTGGGTGTGGAGATGTTGGTGCAACTTGGTGACCTGCATTTTGCAGACACTCAGTGAAGATTATAAAGCTCCTGTCTAGCCCTAAAACCTGTGAATATTACACATTTTGGCCCAAGAAAATGAGATGACTGCTCTGCAAAATAGAACCACAGGCATCTCCTTGGGACCTTTAATCAAAATGGAATTTGTCAGGACAGCACCCGGTACTTGCAGGCCATCCTGAAGCCTGGCTCTATAATGACTTAGGAGAAAACCACAACCCTCCTGCTCCAGCACCACTTTCTGCCTCTGGGAGCAAAATCTGTGGTTTTTGTGAGCCATCTGCTCTGTTCAGGCTCCTCTCCCAGCTAAAGGTTGACCAAATTCTTTGGTTTTGCACAAACCCTTTCCGCTCACATGCAACTTAGTTTCAGTGTGCTTTTTGCACAATAGACCAGTATTTCACAAGCTGTCCTTGCTCTTTCAGTGATCAAGAATATTTTTGCTGCGAGAAATGCCACAAAACTACCAAATACCTCTGCAGTTAACTGAACTGTACCTGAGTTTCAATCGTAAGTCAGATGTTTAAAACAGATTTTGAGCATTCATCTCTTTTTTTGTACAGTACACGCTTTATTGCAGAGAAGACTGGATGCATTTTTAAAACAAATTCAGGAGTTGCACAGTTTCCAGACATTTCTACGACATGTTGCCCACAGTAACTCGAGTACAATGGAGTCTGTCAGACAAACAGTAAGGGGGAACTCAATCTTGTCATCTGCAATCACTTGAGAGAGTCAGAAAATCTTGCAACCGACTATTTAAGAGCCATGTAAAACAGGTGGCTCTGCTCCTGTGAGCACCTCCACCAGCAGAACAGAGGTTAACCGTGTCACTCCTGATTTACACCAGTGTAACTGAGACCAGAAGTCAGGCTTGTATCATGAAAGCAGCCAGTGAAGATTTTATGTCAGAGTGATACGCACGTGGTGGCAGATTTGTGACGTTTGCTGAAGGGCTTTTATTCGGGGTCAGATTAGAGGCAGTGTCTCCCATTTCAGGTATTACTGTATCTTTGGATTGATGCACAACCGTGCTGCCCAGTCCCTCTCCACGTGGGAAAGAAATCTTGGCGTGAAAACACATCAAGTCATAACAGGCACTAACTACCACAATAAGCTGTAACACAGTCTTTGTCTACGCTGGATGCTGCTGTGTCTGGAAGCATCCCAGCGGGTCACAGCCAGCCCCAGGTAGGCTGAGGGTTAGCCACAGCCCTGTAGTGGGATCACAAGCACATTAGAGTGTGGCTAGAAATGTTCTTTAGCATATCAGTTAACAAAGATAATGCATTTTCCTGGTGAGACCATCCATAATAATTGCTTTTGAGAGATACTGGCTGCATCAGCAATTTGAACATTATAATATTAGATAAAAATCCCCAACGTTTTTTTCTGTAAAACGTGTTTCCTTACCGTTTTCCTTACCTTTCCTTTCCTTACATACCCCAAAAGCGAAGCCTTCTCTCTGAGCCACCACAGTGTGATATTAAATACAGTTCAAACTGTTGATGCAAGTCCAGAGCTCGTCCGAGGACACTGAGACTGAATAGGCTGGCACAAGACATGTTAGCATAGAAAAGCCTTAAAACTACTAGACTCTGAGAACTGGTTTTCACCTCCTACACCTTTTCAAAGCGTCACTGACATAAACATTAATGGCAATTTTTACCAGTCGAAGGTCTGACACACAGGGCTCAAACTCTAATGACGCAAAACCACACGGGAGTCAGAAATTCCCCGTGATGGATGTACAGCAGAATGGTCCAGGATGTGTTCAAGGTATACGCTACAGAATAGCGGTTCATCTGGAGGTTGTTTAAATGCTGATGTGCAGTGTGCTGAAAGACAGCTTTCTTACTCCTTTAGCATTGTGCCAGCTGTATGAAAACTAAAAATCTACCGGGGTGAATGGGAACCTTGGGAAAAGTAGCTGATTGAAAAAAGCCTCAGAAACTGAAGGCTTCCGCGTAATATCAGAGCAGGGACAGCACGGATTGAGACAAGAAGAGTACACCCAACCCACCATGTGCCTCAAAGCTTAATTTGGAAAGGATGCTTGGGAAGAAGGGGTGATAAATCATTCATCTGTCGCTTCCTGACGGCTTCGCCAAGGCTGCCAGTGCTGGCGGTTACTAAGTGTGCGCATGTGACTTGCTAACTAAAAACCTATCCACAAGATGAGAGACCACAACTCACGGAGGCTTTGGAAGGTCACCCCAAAGTGATGTGCTTCTGACATAGGCTAAATTGTAATCCATGATGAGTGAACGGGCCTAACGCCCGTGAATGCTTTAAGCTCTCGTGTCTATTCCCTTTCAGAAGAAAACAAAATTATCGCATGAAGTGGTCGCTAGGCACAAATGATTCTTCTTCAGACAGATCCCCACAGGTTTCCCCCTTGTAATTACTAAAATATACTACCTGATGTGTCACGAGGATGACAAGTTATTGACATTTAAGGCAATCTAATTTCCATAGCCCTCCCATGACTTTCACCAAGCGGATCGCCTTTGTCTTCCTTCTCTAGGAACGATTTCTTGCACGTGAACATGACAAGCAGCAGCATTGGCAAATGCCACAGACTGCAGAAGAAGAGCTTCCTGGAGCTGCTGCGGTCTGCATCCCTGTAGAACCGAAAGCCGAGGTAGGAGATGTAGAGGTTGATAGGGAGCGAAATGATGGGGAAAGTCCACGTGGTGATGTCGAGAACAGGAGCCACCGTTGAGAGTCCAATTAAGGCCAAGCAGTGACGCAGAGCTACCCGCCTGCACAGCCCCGGGTGGGTGACGGACATCATACAGTATCCTCCTCGGGAGTAATCTTCCCGCAGACCCCAGCTCAGGGCGTTGAAGTGAGGGAACTGCCAGGAATAGAGGATTCCTCCTAAGAGTAACGCACCTGCAGTAGGAGAGAGAGAAGGAAACATGCATTAGAGGGCCACTGCAAGAAGTACTACACAAAGACCTCAGCAGATTCGGGCTGTATCTGCAAAAGAGCAGCGCTATGAACCTGTAACACCACTCTATGCAGAAGACAAGGCACGCTCTGTAAGACATAGGCATGCTCTGTTTTTAACGGCATTTACATAGGGTTGCGCACCGTCGTTCTTTGTTTTTGGAGCACTTAATTTGAAAAGCATTTCAACAAGTCACTTCTTCCTAATGAACCACTGCTAATTGGTTTCTGCACCAATTCAGTCTCTACCTGAGGGAGGATTGATGGAAATGAAGAAAAGCTGGGCAAGAGACTGTTTTCCTGGGAGCCTCTAACTTCCACTCCTGGGTTCCTAAGTTGGTGCATCCAGAGCAGAGTGTCACATTGACCAGAAACAGGGAGCTCGGCTCAATGACAGCAAAAAAGGAAGATAAGCTGCTTCTTCCTGAGAACTGGGAAAATACCAGCACTTTGGTAGCCTGAAGCATGGCTGAGCTTTCTGTTTGCCCATTGTGTGAAGGGAGGGAATTGCTCACGGTGGGGCAGCACCTCAATCACAGACCTCAGGCAGGCGGCAGAACCGGCAGAAGCTGCTAATGAGGTGACAGAAGATGGAGAACATTTTGCTTCTTCAAACCAATTGCAGGAATTTCTAAGTAGTTTGACCAAGTAACTCTATTCACACCAATTACCTACTTTTACATTTAAAAAGGAGCTATGGAGGCACCACAATTTTCCACAGCTATCCTTGGGACATGGTACAGGGCTTATCGAGGCAGAAGCAGCTTATATGCTGATTTTGGCGAGCTTCAAGGAGGCCCTAAGAGTAAACTCCCTTCACTAATTTTGTCTGAAGACACAAAAAATCCCCCAAGGCTGTTGCACATTATGAGCATTCCTGGATTTTCCTTTTGTTTCCCCAGCTCACAAACACTCTGCTCCAGCATTAACACTTTCTTTGCATCTCCCTGCCACCATGAGCTCATTCTCTATAGAAACTACTTCTCCATTGGAGCCACGTGTCTATCATTTTCTTAATGACTTGATAGAAACAGAAACAGCAACACTTATCTGCACACAGGTTAATGTATTTAAATTCTTCCCCAAACGTTCACTTCTCCCCCAGCAACTGCTCGGGCTCTAACAAAGACCAAGTCACTGTCTTCTTTGAACTGCTTCATGGTTCATGTCTTCTCTCCACCTGTTCTGGCTCTATGCTCCTTGGGGCTGTGCATGTCTAGTTCTTGTCTTAAACAACACACCATACACTGGTGTTATCATGCAAATAATAACAATCTAAGTTTGCAAAAGAGCCCTTCTTTTGCCCTACATTATCAACCAGTGAAGGAACAGCCGATTAGACTTAATGTGGGTTTCCAGTTGCTTGTAAGATCTAGTAGTGGTATAAAAGACCTGTCTCATTGCTTTTTAAAATGAGTAACAAATACTCCATCAGGTGAGTATATGCCTCTGAAAGTTGATTACATGAAGCATGGAGATAGATGCTCATATATTGGGCATGCAGATTTCAGAACAACATTGCCTGCTACAACTTACAGGTGATTTCCTGGACTACAGCCCCAAACGCTTGCAAATCCTGCCATTCGATCCTACTGAAGTCGACTTTCAGGGTGTGGATGCTTAGCACCTTCTCTAAATTGGAACCTTTTAAGACAGCTGAAAATGGTGCACCCCAAAATTACCATTAATTTCAGAAAATCGTGACAACAAAAGTAATTTTGGCCCTAACAAAATAGGATTTGATTCAGTTCTGAAACCTAAAGGAGTAGCTCTACTGAAATAAACTGAAATAAAACTTAATCAAAGAGTATTCCCTACACCAGAAGAAACAATGGGGAAAATGTTCTTGTAATATATCATTCTTTAGCTTTTTCCTATTCTTGTAAAAAGTATTACCGGAGGCAAGATCCTGAATGTGATAAACCTAAGATAGGAATATTTTTCAAGTTTCATATCTAAAGTGCTTTAGAGACATTAGTTTGTCATTTTTCATAACTTAGGGAAAGGTAAGCTACAATTATCCATCAGCTGAGGAAACCTAAGCAGATGGAACTGGGGCCAGGATCCAGAGGCAGAGGCTGTCCCTGCTTCCCACGGCTAGAGGCCAGCCGGCTTCTCATCTGGCATGTGCTGCGTCCCTGTGTTTCGGCTGTAACGCGGGCTTTGCTTATTCAATTGTTCAAACGTTGTGTGCAGCCAAGCTCAAAACACACCCTAAACCTCAAACACACAAAACCCTTTAACAGTTCTCTAACTATAACACCATTAAAAAAAAAAGTCATCTGGAGAAACTTTTAAACACAAACAGACCAACTAGACTACTTGAGGCTGGATTCCCATTTACAAAGCTCTGGTTTTTACATGCAAGCCTTTGGAATTTAATTACTTTGATTACATTACAACCATTGAGATAATTGATATTTTACAGAGAAGCTGAACAGTAAAACAATTTAATAGCCCATTATGAGGAATTTAACTGACCCAATCTTTTTGTTAGTTTCCCATGTGCCTTGGACATCCTGTAATTTCCTCTGCCCAGGCTGAGATTGTCAGGTTGTCAGAGATTTTTAAGTGTCACGTAAGACTGATGACTTGCAAAGCACAGCACATGGTACAGTACAATTCAGCATCAAATGAGCCCACAGTAGGAATCCTGTCAAGCCCAGAGCAGACACTGTAATACTCATTAATTACTAGATGAATGTTAACTATGTCATAATTAGGTCAGCAGTGTTTTTAAGCAATATTACAGCGAGACTAACTCTGGAGACTAACCTGCTTCAGAATAGTGCAGAGTCTACTCTGCTGCTTCTGTGCAGTTCCCAACAGTTTGGGAACTCAGTTTAATCAATGCAAATCTCCTTTTTCTCTATGGAGTTTATAATTAAGTGAAGACCAGACGAGGTCATTCACAACTGTAACACGTGGAGCTGGCACAGAGTTCACAAAATCAAAGCTGACCGTCGGAGCAGAGCCATCGCACTTGCTTTGGCAGTGGGAGAGAGCCAGCATCCCGGGACAACGCAGCCCTTGGGCTCCTTGGCACATGGAAAACCTGAGCGCAGGCAGACTGATAGAAATTCACATTTGATCTCTCTGCTTTTCCGCAAGTGTTTATGAATTGCAAGACCACAAGTACCTGGCTCGTGGATATCCCAAATTCTTTGGCCTTTTGGCCAAATTTTTAATAGCTGCAAATTTAGCTTGTTCATGACCACTTCCAACCTCTTCACTTCTCCAAGTGTGAGAACCTGGGACAGCTGTGAGCAGACACTTATAAATCCTGATACCTCGTCAGGCAAGTCCTGGTTGATTTTGGAAAAAAAAAAAAAAAGAAGTCTTTTTAGGCAAACAGGACCCAGGTCTCCAGTATTCTTTCATTCTCGTGTGCAAAATAGGTATAAAATGTTTCCTGGTTGGGTTCCTATTGTTTAATCACTTTATACTAGATTAAATCATCTCAAAAGTTACAGGATTGCAGAGAACCAGGTAGGTCCTATAGCATCCACAGAGTTAAAGATAAATAACAGGTTTTATGGTTCATCATGAATTTTAAGGTTAAGCTATTATTTCTTTCCTTAAATTCTTTTAGAAGTATTTAAATAGTAATATATCTTCTTTTTAATAAACAAGAACAAGCTGAGATTTTTATTTTAATATCTAAGATAGAGCCAAAATGTCAACTGGCATTGAAGAAAGTAGAAAATGGTTCTTTCTTTCTGTAAATATATTTTTATCTAGTGAAATACTGAAGCTTTATAAATTGCATTTTTCCTAAAACAAACAAGACACTAAATTCCACAGTCATTGAGTAACTGCTTGGCAAGAAGTTTCAAGGTTCAATAAATTTGGGTAAGACTTGGAAATAATTGTGCGATGAGACTTCCAAAAGCAACTAGTGATTCTGGGCTTGCAAACCACAGTAGCTGACAGTCTAATTTTCAGAACTACAAGAGCAAGAAGCATCCCCCTCTGAAGTTATGCGCTTCACAGTGTCAAGAAGGCCATGTGGTACCTCTAAACTTTGATTAAAATCTCATGTTTTATTCCTTTTAAAGCAATTTATGATGACCTCGTTTGCTGGATGGTCCAAATCTCAGGTGAGGGAGCAATGCCAGCGCCTGAGCCTGTTGAGTCCTTGGTCTCTCTGCTAAAAAGAGCACCTAAGAGCAGGAAACTGGAAGATGGTTTTGAGGGTGTTAAGTCCTTGCAGGGTGTGAACTCTGACCACTGGTTAACACATGGAGAGAAGAGCAGAGCAATCAGGTAGCAACAGCTTCTTGTCCTGTCCATCCTGGGCTCGTGCCAGCATCAGTGACCCAGGGACGAAAAGCTCCAGACCCTAGTGCGAGTCCCCCAAACTTCGCATGTCCTGTAAAGGATACAGAACCTGTTCAAGTCTGTACATCACCTGCTCAAGAAAGAGTGGGCACATTCAGCTGCTGAGCTATCAGTGCCAACAGAAATCATGCCGGTAACATCCTTCTGAGCAAACCAATTCATTCACGTAAAGCAACCTGAGGACTGCAAAGCTATTTTCTCATCCACTAAAGGGCAGAAGTAATGTTTGGATCCTGCTTGACTGTCCCATGCTGTGGATGCCACTCTCTTAAGCAGCGATTTGAAATATGCCTCTTTCATGCTGGCAATACCTTTCATCATCAAAGAACTTTATACATTGTACAGTTGGCACATGGAGCAGTAGCGATGATTTCACCCGCAGCTGAATTATTTCAGCTGTCTGCCTTAAACAAGACACAATAGTTTGGGATGATCCAATTAAAAACCTCTGAAAAATTTCTGAAGGCAAGTTCTTCCAGGGCAGAAAAGGACTTAAGCTACAAGAAGGCACAGGCTGGAGCACAGCGTGTGGGTGGGAGCACCAGCCCCTGGAGCAGAGCCAGCTGAAGTCCAACCAGCCCAGGCAGGCAGATGAACACAGG